TGAAACCTAAGTTGCCCTAGTGTTTCACCCTTCTTGGGTGCTTATGAGCTATTTCATAAATGACTTTTCCTAGTTCCAGTTATCGAAAGAATCAGGGCCTAGGGGCAATGAATCCAGACAGAAACCATCTCTTTGGTCAAGTTATTGTTTTGTAGCCTTAATAAAACCATTAGGGCTACTTGAGTCAATGACCCATATGGTTGTGTGTGAGACTTCAGCCATGATGAACTTTTTAGTTTCACTGCATCTCTGCCCAGTTTAACAGTGCTCTATTGTGAAATTGGTATTTGTGGTTAAATTATTAAAACATTCATTTTATAAATAAAACTATTTAGATAATTCAATGGTTTTCTTTTTTTTTGACCACACCCAGCAGTGCTCAGGGTTTACTCCTGGTTCTGTGCTCAGGAATTACTCCTGGTGAGCTCAGGGGATCATATGGAATGCTGGGGATCAAACCTTGGTTGGCCGTGTGCAGCGCAAATGCCCTGTACTACCGCTCTAGCCACTAGGTAATTTAATTTTAAAATTTTAAGATGCTTTTGTATGAAATTAAATCTACATAGACTTAACTTGGACATTGACACAGGTTATTAGATTGACTTTTAGTTAATGAATTTAGTTCTTTTGATATTGTTAATCTGGACTGGAAAGATAGCTCAACAGACTGAATTCATGCTTTATATGTAGGGGGCCTAGGTTAGGTCTCTTATCACCAGTATGTCCCCTGGGGTACTGTGTGATCCTCTGAGCGACCCTTGAGCACTGAGCTGGGAGTAACCCTTGAACATCACTGTTGTGGTACAGAATAAACATTGAAGTGTTTTTCAAATAATTTAAAAATGACCTTGGGGCCAGAGAGAATATTGGGTAGGGTACTTGGCTTGTGCACAGGTTTCATCTCTGGAACCACACCAGAAGTAAGCCCTGAGCATCACAGGGTGTGACCCCGAAACAAGTAAAATTACCCTTCCAAAGATTAGATTACTATATTGGATATACAGGACATTTTTCCTTTGAACTGCATATAACATAGTCACCTGAAAACAGGTACATTCTAGAAAAGAATTTTTGACTTCTATTAGAAAGTTGGAAGAGTTGTATTTGTACATAATACACATATTTTGAGATCATATTCCTTTCCCCTGCCCCTCCCTTCTTCTGTCCCTCCTTCCTTCCTGGTGGTGCTCAGGGCTTACTCCTGGCTGCAATCTGGGAACCTCAGTGCAAAACAAGTGCCTTATTTATTTGCCGTGCTGCCTCCTGAGCCCCTGAGAAAGTATTTTCAATTTCATTTAAAAAATTGGAAGTGGTATCGTCACGTGGAAGAATAGATGAGGACACACTTTTTACCTGAATCTTTTATTAATCACAACGTGGAGAATATTCCTGTCATACTGTGATGTTTGCCTTCATCTTGGTTGAACAGGCTCCAAATTGTACAGTTATACACTCCACCACTACCACCGTGTTTGGGCAACACCTGTCAGTGTTGAGGGACTACTCCTGGTTTTCTGTACTCAGGGAACCGTTAGTAGTGCTGGGGATCATAGTGTGTGTGTGTGTGTGTATTTTGCAGGGGTTCATACCAGCAAGACATTTGTTCTACTGCTTAAAAATCCTTGATTTTTGTTTTCCCATTGCGGTTTATTGTTTACTAGTGATTATTTTAGCGCTATCTTGTTATACCTAGTACTTGCAGTAAGGAATAAGTGCAGTAAGATGCTGCTTTCCCCCAGTTCTTCACAGTCTATCTATACATTTCCTTCAAGGATGTCTTTCTGGAATGCCATTTAATACTTGTATCACTTATAAGATGTGGCTGATAAAATTTCTGCTCTTACGAGATTTATATTTTATTATGTATGTGTTTGTGAGTGGTTGTACTAGGTACTCTTAAAGATTCTATGATACTACCACTTATTTCTTTGAAAGTTAGGTTGAAATTTCCCACGAAACTTCCTGGGACTACGAAATTATCTTTTGCAGTTAAGTTTATAATCTCAAGTAGACTAACCTTTTGACATACTTGTTAATATATTCTTGGCCTTCTACCTAAAAGAGGCCTTTATAATGGTATTCATTGTGTGGAGATTACAGAACTTCTATCACAAACTATAGAGAAAATAGGATAATAAATTCTAATGATAGGAAGTGTAAAAGTGAAAGGTAAAAATGTGACCTTTGATATTCCATGAATATAAAAATGGGCAATACTTTAACCCAGTTGGTAGAATTTAAGCATTTGCATATGCGCAGTAAAACCCATAGTTGCTGAAAGTTTTGAAGACAGTATGCCTATTTGTTTATTTACTTTTGGATTTTGGGCCACACTTGATGGCCCTCGGGCTTATTCCTGATTCTGCTTAGGAATCATTCCTACTGGTGCTATGGGGTAACAATGTGCAGGGATCAAGCCAGGTTTGGTTTGATCAAATCATTGTTCAAGGCAAGTGCTACCCTTGTATTATCTCTCCAGCCCCCAAAACAAATCCTTGACTTTTGATATTGCCTAAGTACTTTTGAAATAGCTGATATTTTAAATACGATTGAATTAATAAGATAAGTGCTTAACTTGGATAAAATTGGTTGAAATGTGAATGAGGTTTGTATTTTCAAAAAAAAAAATAAAGATTTTTAGATATATCTTGAGTTATCAGTACAGTTCCAGCAAAGTATAACATCCATTTTTGTGTATGAAAATTCTCACATGACTTGAAGGATTTCATTTGGTATTATAACCAGGGGATTTTTGAATATTGTTGAGAGTTATACACTGGATGCTAATGATGACAGCCTGAGTAAACATTTCTTTATCTAAAGACTTTGAGGTTACTTTGGCTTTCACACTTGTGAATGCTCAGAATCGAAAAAGTAGGCATATTATTTTGAAAGCTTCCTAAGAACTAGCTAGAGTAAATTAAATTTATAGAGGATGGGGGGGAAATCACTATTTAACCTCATTTCTTTTTTTTAAAATTAATTACTTTATTTATTTATTGAAACGCTGTGGGAAAAGTTACAAAGCTTTCAGGTTTAGGTCTCGGTCATGCAAATATCAATCACATTTCCCTTTACCAATACTTATTTTTCACCACGAAGAACCCCAATAACCCCCCCCCCCAATGCCTGTGGGGCAGATGAATTCTAGTTAACACTCTATCTACTTTGACTAGCTTCATTGTTTCAATAAAAGTTGCACCATTATTATTTAGACTTTACACCCTCCCCGCCCCCCCAAATCAGCCATGCTGAAAAAGCATTGTGAAATGATTTGCTTTCTACAACTGGGTTCAAGAATTAAATGATGTCGCGCGGCCGCTATTGCAGCCACGCGGTTTTGGATTTCTGCTATTTTATTTTTTAACCCTGGAAGTATTTCTACTGAGTCAGATAATTAAGAGATTGGTTTCTGTGCTTCTGGGGCTGTGGCCGTTCTGGAGAGCCGCTCGTGGGGAGCAACTGGTGATCTCGGTAGGGCGTGAAGGACGGGCCAGAACGCCTCCCCCACCATGAGGTTTCAGTTGCGCCCCCACGCCCGGCTCAGACCTGCTCTCCACAAGGCTCCCATGCGGCCACCATCTTTCTTTCCAGAGAGGAGAGGGTGAATGGAGCAACAGCCTTTCCCCTCCGGGCAGGCATGGTGGCCTGGATTAACGCATAGTCCGTTCGCTTTTCTGCTCCAAGCTGCTGGTTTTCTGCATTAAGTCTTTGTGCTTCTGGGGCCGTGGCCGTGCCAGAGAGCCACTCCTGGGGGGCAACTGGTGACCTCGGTAGGGCGTGAAGAACGGGCCTGAACGCCCCCTGTCCCATGAGTTAACCTCATTTCTATATCCGTAAATAAAGCATGTAGAACTGTCCTCCCAGTGTTCTTCGATTTGCATGAGTGGGCACCAGTAACATCTCCATTGTGAGACTTGTTAACTGTTTTTGGCATATCTAATACATCACGAATAGCTTGCCAGGCTCTGCCCTGCGGGCAGAATACTCTTGGTAGCTTGCTGGGCGCTCAGAGAGGGGTGGAGGAATTGAACCTGGGTTTGCCGCATGCAAGGCAAAAATGCCCTACCCGCTGTGCTATCGCTCCAGCCCCATATCCTAAATTAGATATTCATACATAATGAAGATTATTATCTTTATAATTTCTTGGGAATGTTAGTTAAGAGTTGTGTTAATTTTATTTAACTTTTTGTTGTTATTCTGGGGCCATACCTTGTTGTGTTCAGGACTTACTCCTGGCTCTTAACTCAGATCGCTCCTGGCTGGGTGTGGAGGTCCATATGTGGTGCTGGGAATTGACCCTGGGTCTGCTCAAGATCAACTTGGGTTGACTTAGTGCAAAGCACTTCACCTGCTTTGCTATTTCTCCAGCCCCAAATGTCTGCAAATTAATTTTTAAAAGTTTATTTTACATGGATATAAAACTCTTAGCATATAGGTGAGAGTAATATGCTAAGTTTAAACATAGTTATGAATGCCTAACTGCCACAGTAATACACATTTTATTGAATTTTTATTGAATTTCTATGAATTACAAAATTACTCATGATTCAGTTTTAGGGAAACTAAACTAAACACCACTTCTTTCACTTGTGTCTTGCTTTCCTTCACCAATGTCCCCAGTATCCTTCCCTCCCACCAACCTGCCTTTATGCCAGGCACTCTCTCCCCCCCACCCTTAAGCACCTGTGGTTTACCATACTATTACTGATAAATATCATGCATAGCACTACCATATTTTAGCACCTCTTACTCCTCCAAAGTGACCACTTCCCTCTGCCATTCTCTATTTTCCCCCTTTATCGTTCTCCCAACCCCACACTGCCCAGTGGCAAGCTTCCTACTGAACACCAGTTTTCATGCTCTTCGTTTCTGTAATACACATTTTAATAGTAAGCTCATTTTTTAAACTATAATTTGCGAAAGGGTATAGAAAGTTTTCTAGCTATCCTTAAGTCTAAATTCATTCATTAAAATTGTTTACTTTTTTTTTAACGCAGGGCGTGATAGGTATTCAGCTGGTCGTTACCATGGTGATGGCCAGCCTCATGCAGAAGATTATACCTCACTATTCCCTTGCTCGATGGCTTCTGTGTAATGGCAGGTAAGGCAAAGACAGGCTGGTTGTGACTGCCACTTTCAAATCTCTTATGTAGTTTACCAGGGTGGTTAACTTCCTAGAAATGAAATACTAGTTTCTGTTTTCTAAAATTATAGCAATGGAAAGTGAAGTGAAATATCAAATATGTTTCATCTCTCCTAATTAAGGTATTAGTAGTTTATCTATTAAGCACGTAAGTAATTGGATTATATTCAAGAATTCAGGCCCCAGCTTTCTCCACCCCATTCTTTCCATGGTCTCAAAATTACCACATAATTTTTCAGATTTAAAAAATATCTATCTGTAGGGAATTGAGACTATAAATTGAATTACTTAAATATTTTTACTATTTGGAGAAAGGGACTTGGGATATATTATTGTGTTTGAGAGTATTCCAAGAGTTTGGGGTATTTTGTTTTACTACAGATGATTTTAAATTTTACTTTTATTAGGTTGTGTGAAGTTATTTTGTAGTAATTTTTATTTTGTAAATTCACTAATCTCCAAACCTTCCACAAAGCAGCTAAGTTGTCATGATGAAATTTATGCAGTAAAACTTAAAAAAATTAGGAGTTGGAGTTACGGTACAGCGGGTAGATTGCTTGTCTTGCACACGCCTGACCCCTGGCATCTCGTGGTTTTCTGAGCACTACCAGGAGTAATTCCTGAGTGGAGAAGCAGAAGTAAGAGTACCCTACGCATTGCTAGGTGTGCCCAAAAAATAAAATGTAATAATTAGGTTAAATATAGAATAAAGTATGAACTGATATATGCTAAAATCATGTGTAATTATGAAAAGAAAGTTGCTAAAAATTTAATTCCATGATTATAATATTCGTCTCCAATAAGAAAACATTGATTTGGAGCGGGGAAAAGAATGCAGCGGGTAAGGTGCTTATCTTGCATATGGCCAGGCTGGGTTTGATTCCCATATTTCTGAGCCTGCCAGGAGTAACCCCTAAGTGCAGAATGAGGAGTAAGCCCCAAGTACAGCTAGGTATGGCCCCAAAACCAAAAATATAGAAACAAGAAACAACACGTTGATTTATGCCCATTATCTTTTGATTCTACATTTTCATATTATAAAGTAATAGTAACTTTTATTCTCCTAAATATTTCATACTGCAAAACAAAAAAAACTAAGCCTTTACTTCAAAGTTTCCATTTCCACCATAGAAATTTTTCCCAGTGGGGTGAGAGCGATAAGGCGCTTGCCTTGCCAGTAGCCAACCCGGGTTCAGTCACTGGCATCCTATATGGTCCCCTGAGCCTTGCCCGAAGTAATTTCTGCATGCAGAGCTAGGAGTAACCCTTGAGCATTACAGGGTGTGGCACAGCAGAACAACAACAAAACAACTATCGCCCCCCCCCCAAAAAAAACCCAACAAAAATGCCTTTCTATACCCTTAAGGCATTTAGCGTATAATCATTTTATGAAGTGATTACTATAGATTGTTAAATCTAACATGCATGTTCTTACATAGAAAATAAAAAGTAAAGAAGAAAAAGGCAAAGATTTCCTTGTGATTAGGATTTCTGATAAGTGATAACAACACTGGTGATAAGAATGCTTGATTCTGCCATAGACTTTAGTTTCTGTTTTAATTATTCAGTCTTTCTGCTTTACTTTTTGCATATCGATGTTTAAATATTGAAAATTTTATTTAGACTTTTCAGTTTTTAATACCTACATGTTTATGTGTGGAATGTGAACATGGTGTTTAAAAATGTGTAAATATTCGTATGAATATTTGAACATCTATCACAGCTAGATAACTGAAAAATAGTCATTTGTAATTAGTTTTGTAGGTGTGTGTCCTTCGGTTTTGTTTACCTTTCTTGCTTTACAGCACCCCCTTTTCATACTGTATGGAAGAATAAGCGTCAAGTGGGCGAATTATCTTTAAAATATCATTAATGGAATCTGATTCATAAACTAGATAAAATACATTAAGATAGTTTATTTTCTATTAAAAGTTGAGTATTTTTGGGTTTCTGTTTCTGATGAGTCATCAGATTCTCTTGGCTCTAAAGATCTCGTGCATCTTGTGCTATTTGAGTCTACAGACAGTTTTCCATGGCCTCATATAACCTACTTTCTACTTGTTTCTATAAAATATGTCTTGACCTGTAGGCATTGAAACTTCAGATTTTGAAAAGCTGATTCTTTTCTGTTCTTTACTACTGGAATAATATAGAATAATTAAAATCTTTAGCTTTTTTGACAGGTTTGTTTCAGATAGTATACATACTGCTATTTTTAGGGTGAGTTCTTTATATTTAGCATGAAAGTTGATGTTTTTATGATTTTTGACTTGGCATTTGTAGACACATTAGCTTTAGTGCTGATTAATGCTGTCTCTAATGTCAAATCAATTCCCAAAAATTTCAGTCAAGCTTTTCTAGTAATAATTTTTCTTTTGCTATAGTTTTCTTTCCTCATATTTTTTTTTTGTGGGGGGTCTGGGGGGCAGAGAGGTGGGGATTGTTGGAGTGAGGTAGAGATTTGGCAACAGTGGTGGTCTTCAGGACCTTACTCCTGGCTCTGCTCAGGGGTCACTCTGGGTGCGATGCCAGCAATCAAACCAGGCAGCACCTTTCCTTCCTTGTTAGTGAGTAGAGCTGAAGAAACCTTAGTTTCTGTGCATTATCTTTATTACTCTGTTAAATTGTAAATAAATCATAATTTTTTAAATTGTGGTTTCTCTATTGTCAGCATGCAAATTAATCTTTGTTAATATCTCATTGACGTCATTGAACTCTGTCCTGTTTGGAATAGAGGATTTAACATAGAATCTGAGTCTTGTTACATTGCTTGATTAATGAGTAAGCTTGCCATTTTTTTGAATAAGTAGATTCCTGGAAGGAATAAGTAATTTTTGCTTGTAGATTAGCATCGTGTTGATTTTTTTTGTGTATAAGAACATTGACTATTTTAAGTTCTGTTATGATGAAGACTGCACTGCCATTTGTATTGTAGATACCCAATTTTTAAAAAGGAAAAATTACCTAGGTTTATTTTGTTCTATTTACTAAGTTATAAAAAATTCATCCAGTGAAATTCTTATTTCTGCTCATTTCATTTGGATCTCCACAGTATGAGCTCAGTGGGAAAGGAAATGGGTTGAGGTATAATATGACCTCAGAGAGTTATATCCTAATTTTATACGATTGTCTTTTAGTTTCCTCTGACAGGTATCATCAGGGTCAAATGGGGTAATCAAAGAGTGATTGGGCAGCTGTCCAGGTAGATCCTTCACAAAGTGCTGTTTCAAGAATTCAACTAACCTTTAAGTGGTGACTTGGAGATTCTAAGCTTCTGTCTCCTGTCTTTCCTGCTTCGTTGCAGTAGTCTGAGGTGCTGCTGTGCCAATAGATCTGTGTGCCAATTAGCAATTGGGCTATAAATCATTCTGGAGAATCTAGGGATCAGGCTTAGAATTAGATATATCATTTCTACCCATGCATAACTATCCACTAGTTACAGCCAAAGGACTGAAGAAACTGGTAAATGACTGAAGAAACTGGTAAATATAGTTTTTATTTTAGTAAAAGGACTAATGTCTGTTTCTTTTCTGATAGGTGGTACGTATCGTCTGCATAGTCACAAATGAAAGAACAAATTTTAATTTCACTCTCATTCACATACTGAGCAAAGCTCTGGGCTAACCCTGCAAGTTTGCTACACAGTTTAGTATTTATTTAATTTATGACTGGCTGTTCATCAATTTGCACAAGCTCCAGCAATGGAGTTTTGAATCTGGTGGATGCCAGCTTTTTTTCAATAGCTGAGTTCTGTTGGCAGTTGGCAGAGTAACTTCTTCATGGATTATTTTTTATTTTTTTTACCTTGTTCTCCTTAGCTTTTTTTCCCCTCCCTAGTCTTTTAGAAGATGTCATTCAGGTTGTATGTTCTATATATTTTCACTTACTACATTAATATGACTTATTCATGACTATGTAGCCACCTTTTATTATAAACTAAATTATGAGGCACATCACTTGTTACGTTTGATACCAAAAGCAAGCTAATTATGAAGAAATACTTATTTTTCAAATTAGACTCTCATCTCACCGCTTGAGATGAAATTTTTTTCGCATCACCAAATTATGTTTTGCATTCCATTCTTCTAGTATTTTAGTAGAAAAATATCTTTCTAGAAATATACTTAGTTTTTCATTTCTGTGCCTGTTTTTTAATAAGACAGATTTTCTCGAAAGGACTTCTATTTTAACAAGAACTTAATTACCAAGATCTCTTCTGCACATAACCTGTGAACATATATTCCTGACCCTGAGAGACTCAACTCTCAAAGTATCTAGTGTTTTGATTTCTCTAGTCTTCCCACCTTCCCTAAACAGAAGGAAGAAAAAACTTGAGAAATTGATTTCTCTTACCATTAGTGTGAACTGCTTCACATAACATAAGGAAAAATTGTTCTAAAGATTGCCCACATTGTCTGAAGATGTTAGTTCTTTTTCCAGCATACCACTGAATTTTAGATAGTCTGTACTTTCTATTGTAATTAAAGTTCCTTTTTGTTTTGAAGTTTGCTTGGCTCCTCTTTTCATGGAGAGGTAAGTGATAGGTTACATTCTTTGTACATTTGAATAGTGGGTTTTGCATGATGAGTAGGATTTTGCTTCATCTCTGTAATAGTTTCTTTGCTGAACCTGCTTTCCATTTTCCTGATTGTTCAGCTCAAACCTTCTGCATTTTTCTCTATCCCTTTATCCCCCTAGGCTCTCTCTTTGGTCTTACTTTGGTCTGCTCTTTCCCTTCATATGTCCCTCATTGAAAATACATTATGGCCAATTCTGATTTGTTTCATCCTACTTTGGGTAAAGAGGGTGTTACAGCACCTTCACATTCAATTGTTTAATTCTTTCTGCCTGTTCTCTTTTGCATGTTGCCTGATCTAAGAATTGCAATTTCCCTTTGGTGAAAGAAACCTATTATTCAAATGCACAGTAGGTGGGACCTATGACCTAAGGGAAAGGTT